CTTCCCACTGAACTCTGATTTGTGCTCTGCCCCATCACAGGAAAGAATGGGTGATGGGTTGATAGTTGCTTCATGTTAACAGGGTACAGTGATTCTAATTTGGGGATAGAGCAGGTGTAAAATGTGTTTAGGACCAAGCAGAAAGGCAATAAGGAAACAGGAGTTTAGATGGATGGATTTATTTACCCCATAAATACAAATCAAGAATATATTTGATAACTAGTCCTACAAATTAAGTCAACAAAACATAACTATACCCAACATGTGAACTGAACAAACTGACCTGACTCAATGACACATAAGGGAACATATGTAGTGGCTTGGCCAAACCGAATGACATACAAGGGATAGACAATATAGACACTATCTGCAACTAAATACAAAGCAGAACTAACTAAACCCAACTCCCCTCCATGACATGGCAGCAGATGGTTCAGTCGAAGGAGTGGGCTTTAGCATTGAAGGCTCATCAATCCTTAGCCACACCTTTGGCTCACCCAGGAGGGATGTCCCCCAACAGCCATGGTAACACAACAAGGAAACAAATTAACAACGTGTGCACTCCAGGTAAAACAGTTGCTGTCTCCCAGTTCAGGGGCCCACATTCTTTGGAGGACGTGGTGTTTTGAAATTGTAGCCTTTCATAGTCGTCGTAGACTGAGAAGGGCAAACAGAAATGAGACGGTCTGGCCTATGGCTTTTTTTTTTCCTTTGTGTCACCAGCTGTGCACGACCTTACCACTGTGTCGCACAACATGTGACTTTTTTTCATTAAAAACTTGTGGTTTTAAGGCCCTTGGTGTTAACAGTTTTACTGTTACCTGTTGAACTGAATTGAAACCCAATACTTACATTTAACTGAGTAATCCTGTTGACATGTTTGCTGCCATATTATTGCATTACCTACCTTCGTTGTCCAGGGAAAGAAGGCTGCATTTCTTGGCTGCATTTCAAGGAGCCTTTGAAATGGGACAGTCTAGTTGTGCTGTGATGATGCTATTGGTCGTCAGATGCAGCCACCGAAGGATGCGGCCCTAAATTGGGACACAGCTAATTTAAGGTTGAGCATGCATTCATAAATTCCCAAACGAACAACCTATGTGGTGCGATTTGTTTGGATGTAGTTGACTGAAAAATAAATGAACCTGTGTTGAGACAGCATTTCTTGCCTGGGATGTGCTAAATGCTCACACAGAAAGGTTGCAAAACCAAAAACCACTGGGTGATCCCTTCAGTGATACCCTTCCATTCTTCCAAACCACTGAGGCACTTTGTGATCCACCTCCAGGGTGAATTCTCTGCCCAGGAAGTAGTACTGGAAGGATTTGAGGACATGCTTGATGGCCAGTGCCTTCTTTTACTCTGTCGAATACAAACCCCCCCTGGGGAAAGTTTCCAGCTGATGTAGGCATCTGGAAGGCAGTTGTTTGGCTCCAAAGTATCCTCACATTCAGTTTTTGCTGGGTGTTGTGGAAAGCTGCCAGGTTCATGAACTGAGTGTAAGTTGCCAGTAACTCTTGCACCAATCTGTTGTGGTCCCAGCTTTTCAGGTAGGTCATCAATTCTTGGTGTTGGATAAGAATCAAAGTAGCTGTCATCTTTTTTCGACAAGGTTACACTACTCTCTTTTGGACAGCTCAATGGTCCCCAGGGACAGCATCAGGTTAACCTATTTTTTCACTGAGGCCAGCAGGTATTGAACACCATGTTCAACAGTATTTGTTCTCATGGTGTATGTCAGAATTACAGATTGAGCTCACCTGAAACTGCTTGTCTTCTGACAGGTGGCTGAGGTCAAGATCCAACAGAGCACCAGATGGTAAGTATTGCTAGTCCACTTCCTCCTCCTTTTTTTCAAACTACTGATGAGTATTACCTCTGCTTTTCCTTCCATTCCTTCAAGAGATGTATGTGCGGTACCCTATTGGAACGTGCCTGGGTGTGAACGTGTGCCTGCCATATAAACCAATGCAGGATGAAATTACAAATCAAACAAACCTGAATTAGATTTTTAAATGTGTGTTCCCTGATTTGTTTTTCAACTTTACAAATGACCATCTTCATTTTAAGGAAGCTACTGCGTCTAATAATCAACCATTTTATCCTGCACAAGACAAATGGAAATGGTGAAATCACAATCAGAGAACACTACACACAACAAAATAAAAAAATACAATGTCTTCATCTGTTTGTATTGTGTGCGTGGTGCTCTTTTATTAAATGTCTTCCTGTGATGGTAAAGTGAGGGTTCACATTAAAGAAAGAACATGTCAGCTTGCTTCTTTCCAATGAGAAAAGGGAGTGCCATGATGAAGACGAAAGCACAGTAAAAGAACATACTGGGAAGACTGTACAGAATATTGTGTCCTAAAAAGCATCATGTTTAAAAATTGACAAAATATAAATTATGTGTGCCATACTAAATATATGTCTGATTTGAATGGGCAGTGTGGACTGAGCAGGAGGTTCACTCTGGCCTCCTAGTTATATGCTTTTATATGCATGCAGAATGCCAATTTTTAGACTCAACGGGTTAAGGTAATAATTTGAAGATTATCGAATCTTTTGACAACAATGCTTAGTGCTAACTGTTACTAACTGTATTTATCTGAAAAAAATAAGTTGTTCGGGTTCAGATGAATCATCAAATGATCTTTAACAACCTCTCAGGAAGAACTCAAGCAGTGCAGTCAAGTGCTCAAGGGGAACCGCAAGAGTAGGGCTGGGTATCATTCAAAAACCTTTGATATAAGGACTGATACCGATACTTTGGCTTCGATACTGATTTGTAACAATACTTTCTTGATACAAATTTTATCAAATACATTATAACAAAAAGACATTGCAGTACACATTATGGTACAAACTTTAGTTTTATTTTTATGCTCTGTCTCTTTACACACACTCTTTAAATACACAGCCAATCACCAGCATTATTAGACCTTGGTCCAAGCATTCTACATGCTGATTGGCTAACTGATGCTGATGAGATTTGCTCATTTACTCCTCAGATCTTCAGTTCCCAACCTGTGGGCCAGGGCCTACTGGTGACATGTGAAGGTATTGCAAGTTTTTGTGCATATTTGCAAAACAGTATGATTTTGGTGAAAAGTTGTAATTGTATAAAACATGTATATAAATAGAATGATGTTGCAGGTCGAACTTCTTTATATGCTTATCTCTTTCTGATTGTGCATTAAAAGATTATGGCAAAAAACTGGAGAATCAAAATGGATAGCTGGTTAGCAACAGGAAGAGTCAAGAGACAGAGGGTGAACAACAAATAACCCCTGATTTCAGTTCAGTCCTGATTGTTCATTCATTGTCATTAAAATAAGAAGTGCTCTGTGAACGCATCATTTGGCCTTCATATTGTTAGGGGGTTGGATGTGGGCCAGCAACATTTTTTGAGATTTTCTAGCAGCCCATGAGTTGGGAAAGGTTGGAAACCACTGTCTTTACTGATGTACTGAAATTTAGTATTGAATGACGAGGCATTTTTTAATCCTCAATAGTAACATTTCAGCCGGTCCATAAAGGTTTGATACCCAGCCCTTCACATTCTGGATCTTCTTGTGTTCATTATGTGTAAAAGAGTATCATCTCTGCCACTTCACAGTGCAGTGTACATCTGTATGCAGATCATAACATCTTATACATCACACACTTTCTTAATTGGTTTTAAATACTGTGCTTGATGAACTAACTATCTGACCTCAGTTCATATTAATTGGTAATTACCAAAACACCTGATAGCTGGAAGGAAAAATCTTACTGACATCAGAAAGTAAGAAAAGCAAAATGGAGGGTGTTTCTGTCTCTTTTCCCTTTCACCCAAAATAAGGCTTCTTCCATCATAACTAACTGTGCTGCTGTTTGTTGGTGGTGCGTGTTTTGTATACTATACTTAGTTCAAACTCAAACTCATCCCTATCATACAACAATGTATGTGGACGAACAAATAAACAGCAGCAAGCAGTTTTAACTAATGACATTCACACCACACTGTTAGTGTGACGTGAAAACTAGTTCCTGAGTTTAGTGTTTGGGACTACTAGATCAAAAACGACAATCGTTCATTTTCAGATTATTAGAAATTCAGGAATATCTTAGCTAGTAAAGACTTCAGTGATTTGTAAACAGTTTGCTTGGAAACATTGGAACCATCCAATCAAAAGCGAATAAGTATGTAAACAGGAAGTAACTGCAGCATTGCAAACTGGAACATAACTTTGAAATATATCTGTTTTAGGTTCTAAACAATATATTAAGCTCACCTGTAGGGAACATACATGGTAGTTTATAATATTGGCATACCATTTTTTAAATTTGAGGTTTAATGTTATTTTTACATCATTATTGAACAGCATTTTGATCAAGTGTCAGGACAGATATGTTATAAAACTAAACATGCAGTGGTCCCAAGCCTGGATTAGATAATCTGGATAAACAGACAAAGTCCACGTGAGGAGGTTGTGGTGGATGGATATTTTCCTAATCCTAACCAAGCCATGACTCTTATTATAGTAACCATGACAACCAAGGACTGATACATGTGCCACTGTAGAGAAACTCCTATGGGTCATATCAGAGGGTTGATAGTTTGTTCAGGTTGGAGGACTGGTTGGGACTTTGTCACACTGATGTCATCATCTTCCCATATCTGATCAATTACCTGGTGAGTAACATGTTATCACAACTAATAGAAATGGACAAAATAATGTAAAAATAACGTTAAACTGGGATGGGACACCTCGGGTTAACTCACTCGCTGCACGTTAGGAGCTGCTGTAATGTGATGTAATGTACAATGTAATGTGTTGACATGCAGTAATTGGAGTTTTGCCTTAATCAGATTATCATGAAATCGCAAGTGAGTGAGACGATACAAATCAAAGTTTTGGCAGTTTCATCCTGAGCTCTTTACTTTTCATCTGCTTCAGTACTGATCAAGCAGCTAATTATTAATAATAATTATTAACAAGTTAATGTCTGTCATGTTGGAATTCACTGCCATGTGAATGACCTCGCTCTGGGTGAGTGCACATTGCCCATTAGGTAGAAAAGTAGAAGAGTGAGTGTAGAGTGTAGATGCTGAAATGAGTGAGACTGTATCTAGTGACTGGAATGCTCTCAATACAAAACCATGAGGTTACATACAACTGTGCTGAGAATATCTAAAATGCAAAACACACAAAAAGAAGAAGACAGAGGTGGGAATAAATAAAGAGAACATCATTTCATTACACCGCTGTCTCCCTGGTCCTGATAAAACCCTGTTCTAGTGACACGAGCACTACAACAACAACAACAACAACAACTAAAACAATCAAAATATGCAGAAATCACTCACCAAATGATTAAGTCAGAACTTTAAATAAGGTGAAAGGAGTAATTGCCCTTCGGTTTGGTAAAATTAATCTTTTTTTATACATGAATTGAAAAAATATTTTTTCACATTGAGAGGGAAAATAAAATATTTACTGTACAAGAAATGACACTAAGAGGGATCCTCGACTCCCAATGTGTACAATCCCAGGAAAAGTCACCCACAATCCCTTTTGCTTTTTGGAACACGTTGTTAAAAAACACTTGACCAAATTATTGATAACCAATTCTGATGGTAAGAAAAACTGTAGAAAAATAAAGTACCAGTAATCTCAAGATTAAAAGACCAAATGCCCCTGAAAATTTTCTTAAAATCTCCAGACAAATTGGAGAGGAGTAATCCACAAATGCTGTACTTTATTTTGTTTTTTTCGCTTTAAAAAAGTTTTTTTTGTCATCAGTCCAGCGGTCGATCTTTTGGCAGTTTGTGGAACGAGAGCGGAATTGTGGGGAATACTGGGAGGGATCTTGGGAAATTTTGTAGTGACTCTGTCTCCTTCAGGCCGAACTCCATGCTCACGGAGGTCAAAGTTCTTAGTTCAGTGTTGATGCTCATTCCCTCTGATGTGGTCAGGTGGTTCACGTTGAAAAGGCAGTGCATTCAGGTGTAATAGTTGGAGATGCTGAGGTAAAATGGTGTGATGGAGACACAAGTAAGGAGGGAGAAGTGGGGGGAGGCTGAGAGGTCTAAAGGTGTAGGTCAAGGGTTGGTAGAGTAAAAGAAAGAGATGGACAGAGTGAGGGAAAAAGAGAAAGATATCTTTAGTGGATTTTTCAAGGTCAGATCACAACACAGGAAAACACCAGCAAAACCTGATCTGTGAGCTAAAAAGACCAGAATAAAAATAAGAAAAGATAGAAAATAAAAGGAGAAAATAACAGAAACTTGTTACACACAAATCCTTAATGAACTGATTATACGTAAAGTAAATCAGATAAAAAACTGTGCTATAATTGTTCACATGGTAAAATCAGTGTAATGCTCAACAGTCTGAAAAAACAATGATGTCATAATCACCACTGCTCAAAATCAGAAATACTGTTTTACTTCACATCCCCAATCACTTCCTGACTGCAGCTTTTTTTGTGTGTGTTGTTAAGAGTTTCTCTGGTCTTTGTTTTGTTTGCCGGTCTGGTAGCATGTGCATGTTAGTGCATGTGAATTCCTCCTGATAAACCATTGGTCCTTCTCACATTTAGAAATACACAAGCTCCGCCCACAGGTCAGATGGCTCAGTGCAGTACGAAGCCTGGACTGGACTGAGGACTACCGGCTCAAATCCTGGTTGGCTGGTGGGCCGTCAAAACATCCATAAAGTTTTAACCAGCTCTGTCAGTATCATTGGTTTGGCTGGTTCCAGTGGATCAGTCTAAGGCTGAATTTCTTTCTCAGTCCTACCATGGAGCCAATACTGGTCTGGTTTACTGAGAGGAGAAGCCTACGGGATACTAAAGGGTCCAGCTGTACTCAGAACTGTTTTTTCTTCTCCATGTGTCAGTAACTTGATGGACCATAATGTCTGTTTTCATTAGTGACGGCTAAAGTAGACATGCTAACATTAGCTAACTCGCTGTTACCAATATTATGAATGTGTTCAGCAAATGTTGCTATCACTAGCTGGCTAGCTGGCTAACTGTCAGATTTGTTGTGGAGCATATCACAGCAATGCTAGCGTGGGCTAATGGTTGTGGTTAGATTGTTTTTGTTGTCTCTCCTGTTCACAATAACTTTATTCAGTTGAGCTTCTCCTTCAAAATAGTTTCTGTCAGAGAACAGACAGTGGTTGCTGCATATGACATGACTGTTGTTCTGATGGAAGTAATGCAGTTAAAATGTACATGTATCAAAAAACAGTGATGCTTTTTACCAAAATATGATAAAACATCCTCGTAAAAAGGAGAAAAAACAGTTGAGGTTTGCCACCAATTGAGAATTTATGGCAATAAGAGAAATGAGAGAAGGAAATAACTGTGATGGCCCAGTTTAAAGAAACAAGACCAGATCAAAGCCTGGTATAAGTCTGGACTGTGCGTGGTCAGTGTGTGAAATTGAGGATGTAGTTGGAAACTGTTGTGAAACCACTGTAAACAACTGACATCATCTCACTCATCATCGACGTTCTTGTATCAGCTTCAGTTTAGTGTCAGTTTCAGTCTTGTATCAGCTAGTTTCAATCTATTGTCAGCTGGTTTCAGTCTAGTATCAGCTGGTTTCAGTCTAGTATCAGCTGGTTTCAGTCTATTGTCAGCTGGTTTCAGTCTAGTATCAGCTGGTTTCAGTCTATTGTCAGCTGGTTTTAGTCGAGTATCAGCTGGTTTCAGTCTAGTATCAGCTGGTTTCAGTCTAGTATCAGCTGGTTTCAGTCTAGTATCAGCTAGTTTCAGTCTAGTGTCAGAAAAATGGTCCATTCAGACTACATGTTAACCAGCAGTCATTTCCAAGCTTGTGCTCTGCTGCTGCTAAAATGATGATATTATTATACAGTTAATGACAAAGGCCCAATTCCAATCCAGCCCCAAACCCTCCTCCTACCCACTCTCACTCTATTTGCATGTGCGTGTCTAATTACCCTTAAGTGGGAGTGGCTTATGAAGCCTATCAAGACAGAGTCTGCAGGTTTACAAATCACATTCCCAGAGTGCAGCATAGCTTTGGGTCCAGAATGGCTGAAATGCAACAGACCTACAAATGTGTATTCTGTGTTACTTCCAAAGAAGTCACAAATGACCTCATCTCAAACAGAGATCTGATAAACTATTTTAGTGCACACATGACGAAATTAGAGGTTACATGATCTTTTGGAACAAACTGCTTTGTACCCAAGAAAACGGGTCATGTGTTTTTTTCTAATTTCAAGAAATATGGACAAAACAAGGATCTAGGTTTTATTTATTCAAGTAATAATTTTCCTTTCACAAGCTCAATATGTCATGAATGTGATGAGGGCCATGTCACTGCTCACGCTCCCACCTCTTTAATGTTGTGACTAAGATCTTTTAGACAAATATTGATTTACAATATACTTTCTGAAATATTTTGGGTAACAATGAATTTCCTGTTTCAATCGAATTAAGGCAAGGGCGTCCCAAATCTTGCCGGATTGGAACTGGGCCAAATACTATGCTGTGATTTCAGCTGAATGCTCAGTGCTTTTTTGAAAAAAAAGTCTCTAAATTTAGCAATAAATGCTCTAAGTTGTCAACACTGCTGCTGGAAATGCTCCTGAACAAAAAATGTCTGTGCCAGTTCCATTTGAAAGAGCAACGGCCAATGAGGAAACACTCGGCTGACCAATGGTGTGACTGAATCACTCAACTCACATGCTGTGTCTCAATTCACATATTTATAGTCACACCGCCTGTTTTGAGTGCATAAGTGCATTCACATTGACAAGCATGGCACCATGCAGTGCACATACCCGGATGGTGCATAAATCGATGGGACACTGCTCACCCTCAACAGTCGCCATCTTGGCTACATAGCAGAAGGGGGAGGGACCACCAACGTATTTTTAAACTTGTGAAAATGGTGATCAAGGAGGGAGGACACATCGGCTTAATTTTCATGTCACAGGAAAGAAAAAATTTCAATTTCAAGCCAAGTGAACGAAGCAGGCAGCAAGCGACAGCAGTTGTGGTCACATGTTGCCATCGTCATTTCCAGTGAGTGCACAACGGTAACAAGATTTACATACGCCAGTGAGTATACTGTGTACTACATGTGAATGTAGTATCTGATCTTATAAGTATATGATTTGAGACACAGCACATCAGTCAGTCAGACTGGTAGAATGATAATGGCAATAGTAAAAACAAATAAAGCAGTGTGAGTCTACTTTTTGTTTATGAAAGCAATGAAATGTTTCATGTCACAGCAGCTTGTGTTTCAGAGAGCTGCACATCTTCTCTTCATTCACTACAGTGTAGTGAATGTGTCTGTGCAGAGCGGTCAGTCCAGAGGACTTAACTCAGAGAAAAGACGCTGTGGTCAGAGTCGGAGGATGAGGCTTCCCTCTGATGTAAACAAATTGAAGTTGACTGAATATGCCAGTAGAACAGAGGCACATGGGAGTGTTTAATCCCTCAGTGATGTCTCACAGACTAATTAGGCCCAAACTCCGCTCTTAAAGGACTGAGCCCTCTCAGAAGAAAAAGTTCGAGAAGCTGCAGCTCGTTTCAGAAATTTAGATTCCAAGTCTCTCAGCACTGACACAGAAGTTTCCTGGTTGAATGGAAGTGGAGAGTTAGCTCCTGGTGTAGCTAATTACACCCTCTGTATGCAAACTGTATTGTAGCGTAAAGCTGTTTTCATAAATTCCACTAACCTCTGCTCAGCTAGCTCTGGCCTGCTAACCTCCATTGCTAACAAGTAATTTTAATGATAAACCAACAAGAGGCCTTTCTCAACAGTGTGCACGGTTCAAACTCTTGTTCCTGAGACTTTGAACCTGGAAAGTTGACCTCACACCAGTGAAATCTAAACAGTTCATGTTTTGCTGGAATAATATTCTAAACCTAACAATAATAAACCTATACTTGTTGTGTCGTTCTGCCATAACTGCTGTATCTCTGTTGATGCAAAATGCATTGCTGGGAGAACTGACACACAAGTCAGCTCCCAAAGCATCCTGGATAAAAGAGCACTTATGCCAGATGTGGATGGATTACATGGACTGTGTTACATCACTACTATTACTATGACTTGTGCTACTTCTGCTTTGGCAGGTTTGTGTTGGCTGTGCTCTTCTAGATGCCTCAACAGTCTGTCAGACCACACTGAGGGCGTAAAAGCCCCACTTTACCCCCCCCCCACCCCCCGGCTGACTGGGAGGTAGGGCCACTGTGTTTACATACCAGGCTGTCAGTCAGCTAAACAGCACCAGATTCCCAGCCTGAACCCTTTAACATCACATAAACAAGGCCACAATTAAAGCCTCATGGGCACCATTACTTAACAAACCTCCTGCTGCTGAGGCGTCTCTTTTCATGTTGGAACAGAAACAGACTCAAGTGGGACCCACATTCACACACATTTTAATTTGCATTTTGCAAGATTTAGCAGTGATTAAATATCAATTGAGTCACAACACTGACCTGTTGACCTGACCACTGTTATCATTAACACTTTCGCTATGTTTACAGCTTTGCTTACTATCATATGTTCAGTGGCTCATTATGGCTCCATTTACAACAATTTAATGTGTTCAGACACAGTGAAATGTTCTTCATGTCGGAGACAGATTTACTCAAACTAGAATCATCTCCTCCACCAACCATCCAAGTTACAGGAAACATGGTCACAGTCTCTCCTTCCTGAGTTACAGCATTGAAAAATTACCAGAAGTGTTTTAGGTGTTATGAGGTTTTGAGGTGTTATGATGTGACAGTGAAGTTGGCCTTTGACCATTTTGGATATAAAATGCCATCACTTCATCATTTTATCCTATTAGACATTTGAGTTAAATTATGTCATAATCAAATCAAAAGGTCAAAATCAAATCTTGTTTTGTGAGGTCACCACGACCTTTGACCTTTGACCATCAAAATCTAATTAGTTCATCCTTCAGTTCTATGTAGTGAATGTTTGTACCAAATTTGAAGAAATTCCGTCAAGGTTTTACTAAGATATCGTTTCCACGAGAATGGGACGGATGGACAACCCATGCGTCTCTGGCTCTGACTGTCGCCGGCACAGAGGAATAAAAGAATAACTAAAATAATCTTTAGCATAATTATTAATGCATTAGGAAGCATGAGGGAGAGTAAGAGAGAGAGAAAAAAGAGAGAGGGAGAGCAAAAGGGACAGAACATCTGGTCCAGCAGCTTAAAGCAGTTAGTGGATGTTACTGCAGTAAAAAATGCAGCCAAACACGTTTAAATGTCTTCAAAATCCTGTGGCTCATGTTGGGTTCGATCCTGTTATTTTCCAATTCCCAAATTCCCAAGAGAAGTGCACCTTGCAAAGACTCACTGAAGTGAGATAAATGCAGCTCATGTGTTTGGAGCAGAATCTGCAGCATCCTGAACGAAAGCCTGTGGAAAGGCTCCACAAAGATAGATGTGAAATGTGATGTCAGACTTCATCAGTCTTTGCCATCTTTCCTATGGGGCAAGAATCAGCTGACAATTCTTCAGTTTCCTAAGACCACCCACTTATATTCAGTATTACTGGACATGTAACATCAATCAACTTGGTTTAAAGTCAAAGTGAAGGAATTTCTATGATGAGGCTGTTATCCTCACTGGTCTCCACAAGTCATTAATCACAACTCCATAACCTTTAGTTCTAACACACTGGTGTTTAACGAGCCATTGTTTGTGCCTTCATCATCAGACCCAGACCTCGGAACATGGTGGAACATTACAGTTGTAGGTGTCACAACTATCAGACAATGTGGTCTTTTCTGATTTTTTTTTTTCCACGTCCTTTAAATTAAACTTTTCATCCAACATCAGCACCACCTGCTTCAAGAGTTCTGTCTGCAGATTGCAAGAGAGGGGCGTAAAAATCACACAGAACCACATGAGATGTCAAAACGAGATGTTATCGGTAAGCGGTGTTGTAATGTAACGAAGTATAAATACTCTGTTACTGTACTTAAATGGAATTTTCACGTATCTGTTACTTTACTTTGTTATTTATATTTTTTTGGCAACTTTCACTTTTACCCCTCTACATTTCCTAAATAAAATGTATACTTTTACTCCGATACATTTCCCCTAAGCTTCTTCATTACTCGTTACTACAAAATAACATCGGAAGAAATTTGTTAGACTGCAAGAAAGCAGGTTTGGTGAATCAGTGTTCCTAGATTGGAAGTCAATGCACCAATTTGAGGTGATGTAATGCCTGTCTGTCGCCAAGCACCTAAACTAAAGAAGAAGAGGAAGAAGGCCCGCGTCACAGTGGATTCGACGATGACTGACTCATGGAAGCTGCTAATGTTACAACGGACGGTCACCACCCCGACTACAGTGGTGATGAAGATAACATTACACACAAGAAATGTTTTCATAAGTTGGATTAAAAGATTCTTCCTACCAGATGAAGTGCCTCTTATTCCCACTAAAAGTCACTGAAATATTCATTACTGCCAACCTCTCAGTTGTTTATTATAAAGAAAATTTCAGTGATGTAACAGTTATTGCCACAGATCAGTTTTTCTCTTTGTTGTCAGCTCTCTCAAAATATGCTGTGTTTGGTCCTTGAATTTGAGGGAATTGTACCTGGAAAGTCCTGGAAAAGTCTTTGAATTTGATGTTTAAGAAAGTGTGAGAATCCTGAAAATTTTTGCTTTACTATAAGGAAGCCACAATAAAGTTCACAATCAAAATTCTACTGCTCACTTTTTTTTTTACTTTTACTTCCAATACTTAAATACATTTAATATCAGAAAATTACTTTTGATACTTAAGTACAGTAAATATCAGATATTTCAAGACTCAGATACTTTTACTCAAGTAATATTCTAAAAGGGGATTTTAACTTCTACCAAAGTCATTTTTTGGTAAGATACTCTTACTCAAGTATCCTTTCAAGTACTTTATACAAGATTGTCAGTAAGCTCCATATTTTCCTCTTCTTCTGTGTTTTATTTGAAGTGTTGATCCATAAGAAGATATATTTGTGGTTTTAAGAACCAAAAACCATCTCAGTGTAGTTTTACATCTCCTCTCTCAGGCTTCTCTCTGGAGCTCTAGCAACAACAGGTCAGTGAGCCAATCAGAAGAGAGGAGACTCTGATTGGCTGAATGATGATGGCTGGTTTTAAGGCTCAGTTTCTGAATACAGGCTGTGTGCATCTCTCTGTGGACTGAGGCTTTGATACTTTCACAGTATTAATATAGAACCTAGACCTGCTTTATAATCAAACAATACATGGACCTTTAAAACTTATTCAGCACAGCAGCTAACAGCTAGTTAGCTTGGCTGCTGTGTTTAAACCCCTTTCACATTGGACCGGGTGCAGTGGCATGACGTAATGTGTAGTGGGAGTAACTGTACATATTGCAGCCTGCAGACTGATCCTTTTGCCTGCATCAGTATCTGACCTTTAAACCCAGGTTCACCTCAGTTACTGATTTCTCCTCAGGCTCCATCTCTAAAATCTACCTTAAAACATGTCACTCCTGCGACAGATGTTAGTCATCATCAGCTAATTACTTATAACTTTGTTCTGCTCCTGTCTGATGTTCTCTAACCCTGCTGTGGCCTCAGAGGCAGAGTTGTCCTGTTCACTCACATTGATCAATTAATTACTTCATAATCAGATGTTTTCTATTTTGTATCTATTCATGTACAGTATTTTCTGGCCTTCTAATTGGTGGGTGGAGCTGGGAGGTTTTTGCGCAACCATACTAGCTTAAGTTATACTTGTCTTTCCTCCCATAAGCGATTGGTTGGAGGTGGGTTCAGGGTATGCACTCACCTTCAAAAGGATCAGTCTTTCTTACTCTGGGGTGATCTCTGTTTCCTGGTGCACAACCACTTTAGTAACAGACATATCTGGGTGCTGCTCTTTTGCCTCTTTAATGGCCTGAGCCAGAGCCTGAGGAGTGAACAAAGGACAAACACTCCAAGTTTGTTAAGGAGAACATGATTTATGTGTTTAATTAAAATGACTTGCACACAAAACAGACTGACTTCATACATCAGCACAATTGCTCTATGAGGCAAATTAAGCCTACAAATAATTCAAACTTCTTCTATTGGGTGAATATGCGTCAAGCAGAAATCTTCTCTTCTTCCATCATTTACCGTCCTCACCTTGTCATGATCGATTTCAGTGTCTCCAGTGATGACAATTCTCTTCTCAATGCGGGTCTCAGAGATCCCTCCTTTCACCGTCTGCAACAGAGATGAGACACAAGCTGAAATACAAGCGAGGAAGAACTGATCACCCTGTAAGAAAAGTGTGGTGAGGGTTAAGACACACACAGCTGCATTGTTTTTGAGACGTTTGAGACGCATTTAAATGAGAGCAAAGAAGTGGAATGGCAGCATGTCCGGCTCGAACAGACTCACTGCTGAGTATGTCTCTGCTGGTTGTGCCAGACTTTGTGTAAATTCTATTAGATCCTCCAGAATATCCTCTATATGAGATTGTACGATACCATTTAGCCACACTGCATTTGGGCAATCAGCCACAAATCAGTGGAGCAGCCTGACGATGTGAGGAGCTAAAGCTCCATCAGCACTTTTCAAACCAACTTAAAGAGACTGTTAAATGCTGCAGCTCTTTTGTATAATGTTGTAATGTCTGTAAGGAATACTGTGTATTACTATGTTTTTTCTGATCTGACCTGCCAAGTGACTGCAGATGCAAATTAGCTTGACGCCACAATCTGGTGCATCTCTTCAAACGGTGACATTAATGTTGAAAGCTGTACATGGTCCCTTTTAGATGAATATATAAATGAATAAATAGATAAATAAAGATGGACAACATCAGAAGGTTGGTGCTGATTATGGGGTTTTGTGGCATCCTTGCAGGATTCTGGTTTAGTTTTTGTCATCATCTCTGTGTAGATTTGTTATAATGAGAAGGGGATTAGAGTGAGGAGAGGATCTCGGGTGATCAGCCCAAAGGCCGGACAGATAGATGATGCTGCTCGTGAGGGCAGGCTGGAGGGCAGACGGACCGAGTCGTGGAAGGGCGTGGGGACCAAGGAGTCAGACAGAGGCAGAGACGAAGGCAGGACTGCTCCAGAGGTTAAGCAGGAGGATAGTGGTGAAGTCAGAATGTCCATGGAGGAAGAGCGGGAAGGTGACGACGAAGGATGGTTCCTTCAGGAGCCTCTCTGGAGGATGAATTGGAGGCTGGTGATGTAGATTGCTCTGGAGGCCAGAACAGACTGGAGGTCTGGAGAGACAGCCGGTACCAGAAGATTCCACTGCAGGTCCGAGCTGGGAGCAGGGCAGGCAGACCACTGGAGGGCTGAGCAGGAGGCGGTTAGATGGAGATCTGGTTGGGTGTCAGCAAAGATGGCTGACTGATGATTTGGGCGGTCAGGAAAACGGTCAGCAGGAACTAGAGGTGGTGTCGGTCAAAACGCTGACTGGAGATCAGCCAGGCTGCAAAGAGGAGATCAGGAACAGGTATTGGCCAGACCACTGACGGGGAACCAGGGGCAGACTTGACATTGGCAGGAACCCGTGATATGGGAACAGACGGGACGTTGACAGGAACGGCCAACAGTTGAAACCAGTGGCGGCTGCCGGTCTTATAAGGAGGGGAAGCTCATTTTCGGCCTACATCATAAAATGTGTCTGTTTATTTATATGTAAATTCGCAGTGACAGAAGAGAGTCGCCAAACACAACGCTAGTCGTTTTTAACAAAGACAAAGTCGCTGAGGATCAGTAATGTCTCCAGATCAACTCCAAACAACGGAATGAAAAACTTGAAAAATGCTCCGGTGGATGCTTATACTTCAAGATCACTGATTCGCTCATTTCGCTGTCAATTAAAAAGGGACTCAGCCTCAGACAGATCATCCAATCATCATGAAGAAGCCGAGCGTCCGGGCCAGCCCACTGCCCCATAGACCAACAGAGATGCTGAGCGTCCGATGGGCGGGACAAAGCCCAGCATTTATCCAATGACCGTCTAGTTTCGCTGCAGTGGAACAACCCACTCTGTGCTTCCCCACTGAAGTCAGTAGACGCTTGGTGTCTACACTGTTTAAAGCTCTGTGGCGCTGCGGGGATGAATGAGAAGGAAGTCGTGTCGGTTACCTGTGATAAGTAGCTGATTCTGAACAAAAGATGAACGTGTTCTAGCGCATATTTAGTCAATGAAATGTACACACAACAGTACATATAAGACCACTTATTTTGTTGACATTTTAGGGGAAGCTGAGCTTCCCTTGCAGTCTTAGAGCAATCGCCATTGGTTGAAACATAGGCCAGGTCAGTGAAGGAATAGACAGAACACTGGCAGGGACAGACAACTAAGGGTCTGGCTGGGCATCTGACTGATCAGCATTAAGGCCCGATTGTGTCATGAACACCACACCATCACACCACCACCACCAGCCTGGACTGTTGACACCAGGCAGGTTGGTCCATGGATTCAGACTCTGACTCTACCATCTGCTGCCTCAGCACAAATCCAGATCCATCAGACCAGGTCTTCAACTGTCCAGTGTTGGTGAGTCTGTGCCCACTGCAGCCTCAAGTTTCTGGTCTGGGTGACAGGAAGTGGAACCTGACGTGGTCTCTGCTGTTGAAGGTTGGATGTGTTTTTCACTCTGAAGCTTCTCTGCTCAGCACAGTTGAAAAGAGTGGTTATCTGAGTGACCGTAGCCTTTTGTCAGCTCCAACCAGTCTGTCCATTCTCCTCTGACCTCTGACCGCTCTCATCAACACATAGCTGCTGCTCACTGGCTGCTTTTGTTGCTGCTCCATTCTGAGTGAAAATCCAGGAGATCAGCAGTTTGAGAAACACTCAGACCAGCCCACTGGATTTTTCTTCCAACGTTAACGATCAGACAGAGCATCAGATGTCAGGCTATACTCAAACCATAAAACCCAGATATCATTAAAAAAACAAACAAAACAAAAACTGTGCTCTTAATTTGCAGCAGGTACTTAAATAGTGGTCACTACCACTGGCACAAGTCAGTGAAAGCAGAGATCCATTACAGCATAGTGGTAAATCACTGTATTGATCTGTATTGACTGACTGTGAGACTGTTAGTGAAGTGAGCAGACCTTGGTGATCTGGGTGGTGGTGGTGGTGCTGATGGTCTCAGAGGTGATGGTTTGGGCACTCAGCAGCACTCCTGAGTCCCTCTCTGCCAGGTTGTCCACCGGCTGTGGGAGAGACACCTTTGAAGTGTTAGACAAAAATCTCAAATTAATCCATTTAAACACGCTCAGTCATCTCTTATCTGTTATTTGTATGTCATTTGTAATGTGTGTAACTGTGAGACTTACAAAGACATTCTGAGCTTACTGGGACCTGGATCAAAATCAGTCTTAAGCTGCCACTGCACGCCCAGTTCATCTTATTCTTTACTTATTTTTTCAACTAAGTTTACAATTATAGTTTGTTTTATTGAGGTTGAGTTCTTTTGTGATTGCTTTTTTTACACTTCTTTACCACAATGTCAACGAAAAAGAGGTGTATATTTCTATCAAAAGAGTTGTATGGGTAGTAGTACGGACACTAAGTATTGTGTTAGAATTTAAAAGGACTGGAAATAGAAATAATCAAGGATGGATTACTAACTGGGCAAAGGGCGCAGCTGTCCTGTGGCTCTAGTACCACATGACACCCAAAGGTTCCAGGTCAAATGTCAACAAGGCTGAGAAACAAACTGAAGCAATGTGGCTGGTGACAAACCTGAAGAGACACCATGAAGACACTGAGGTCAGTGAACCCCACCTTAGGTTGTTTTATTAAATTATATTAATCCAACTACTAAAGGCAGTGGTGTTATGTTGTGTATTGTGTATCATGTATTTGCATCTTACAACAGTAGGACATTGCTACATTGACTGCAGATGGGATTTAGTCTAACTAACAGTCAGCAGCCCAGTCAGCTACGCTGGCTAACCTGACAAATTTGTATGTTTTGGTGTAAAAAAGGTGCATACAGTCTAAAGGTAGATGTCCATGTGTTGTTTGATTATAGATCAGGTCTAGGTTCTATATTAATACTGTGAAAGTATCAAAGCCTCAGTCCACAGAGAAATGCACACAGCCTGTAGTCAGAAACTGAGCCTTAAAACCAGCTGTCAGGACTTCTGGAACTTTGTGATGTCACAACAAAGCAGTCACCACTCTCAGCCCACCTGGACCCACCATCCCACCTTGCATGATTTGGTTTACCTGAAATCTGCTATATTTTTATGGATCACTCAGAAAACAATAGAAGAGGAGCTCCAGAGAGAAGCCTGAGAGAGGAGATGTAAATCACTGAGATGGTTTTTGGTTCTTCTTCTTATGGATCAACACTTTAAATAAAACAACAAGTGTGAAAATGAGACCTTTAAACATTGCTATCCATGCTAATGAACACACAATTTAATTGCCATACGCATTTCAGGTCCTGTTGACTTTGAATGGGTCCATGCCCATCTAAATGTAGTGTAGTTTAACGCCTACTGGTTATTAAAATGCACAGAATACAACTCTGTTGTCTAATACTTAGTTCCTTTGTGTGCAGAGGTTCAGGTTCCAAATATATTCTTTACAAATCTATTTAAGAGGTTCCCTGATAGCACACCAGGGGTCGGCAATTTTTTTCTAATCCATTAGATGACGGCCCGAATATCATCAAAGGCAAATTTAAGAAATTGATTGATAAAAATTCAACTGGAATTTACTTTGTTACTGTTCACATGTGGCACTCTGACCCACAGTCACAAATGATACTTTTTACCAACAGCAACAGAACCACTGGAACTAAATCAATAAAAGCTCACAATAGCTTGAAATAAAGTAGTGCTAAAAAAAAAAAAGAACAAGAACTTTCTCATGTTTTTTTTTTAAGAGGAAATCGCTAAAGAGGAAGTGATTCAGTTGGTGCACAGCCTGATGCGTGAATGCTTGTATCTGTCATTCACTCTCTACGTGGATAAAAGTATAATATTTTGGCAGATCAGACAAGGGTCAAAGTGTCAAGCTGGGCCAGTGAACACTTGGCTTTAAGAATAAATCTGCATTGCATACAAGGTGAGACAACTTGCTAGACTTATTTAATCAGAGCCTGAATATACGGTGTGAAATGTTTTCCTTTTGTGTGCAGTTCCCAGAATTCCCCTCACCTGTGCTGACTCGTATGTAATGGTCTTGGTCTCAGTGTGAACTAAGGGCATGTCCTTGTAGGCCACAGTTCCTCTCAGGGAGTTGGTGACGTCGGAGATGGTGATTGTCTGGGTCTTTAGCACAGGAGACTAGAGGGATGAGATGAACAGTCAGCAACAACTTCTGTGAGGGCTCCATCAAGACAAGCTGTCACACATGAGTGTATGATTGATACAGCAAGAAATCCACACACACTGACACACTGCAGCCTGTAAGGACTGAGGTCCTGTAGTTGACATCATAACCTCTAAACATGGTACTCTTGGTCCTGCAGGCATGTAAATGTCTGCTGGGCTAACTACTGTAGTTCTGCATTTGTCAAAGACACAACTTTAATACCAGTGACCTGATAAGCCCAGTGCTGACCAGTGAGTCAGGTCCTGACACTGGCAGCAGCTCTGTGACTCTGAGGGCCAAAGAAGGGCTGACTGACTCAATGCTCTGCTCACAGCTGTACAGTGAAGTAACGGCACAAATCACAACATTAGAATAATATTTTATATTATATGATGATAAGTGTGAATAAATGTTCAGTTAGTTACGAAACTGTGGACAAATTTAGTCTCAGTGAACACTGTGGTGGTTTTACCAGGTAGTGAGAAAGAACTCTTCTCTGCAGACCCCATCTGAGAGCCCATGGGTGCTCAGATGGGCCCAAGTGTATTTGCTATTCCTAGATCCTTGTTGAAGTGTGTTTATACTGAACACATATTTTGACTACTGTCTTAGTCATTGTGTCATGTCCATATAAGGTTTGTTGTTGTCATTACCTGGGCAGTGTAACATCAGTCAACACTAAGAGGAGATTTCTCTGAACAGCATCACATTCACATATTTCCCTGACTTTATTACTGCATCTGTACCTCCTCAATGTTCAGGTGAGACAGGTGGGTTAGGATCCAGTCCCATTTAACATGTCATTCACAAACAAAAGAAAAAAAGAAAAAAAGAAGCTCAGCAGGAAGAAATGCACAAGAGGTGTTCATGAGTAGAAAACCACAGATGCAGCCAGAAACTCTCCTGGATCGGCTCCTAACCTACTGTATGCAACAATCATTACAGTCCCCCTACAGCCAAAGAAGAGTTCTTCTTCTTCTGACTTTATATGGATGTTTGAGCTTCACTATTTTAACATTTACCTGCTGAAAAAATCTTCACTGTGCTCACCTTAACCCAAACTCTGAGGTCAAAGCGTGTAAGTAAAGTATGTGACAAATTTATGACCAGCACACACAATGGTGTGGAAACTGAAGCCTCCAGTGCTCAAACACTGAGAACAGACTTCAGTGAAGCAGGAGAAACAATATGTGCATGTTCATAGATTCTGGATTTTTCATTTCTTAATTAGGTAATTGAACATTTTAGAGGAGAAATGTCATCAATCACATCAGACACAAAAAACACTGGTGACTTCAAACATGTCTGGAGGGGACCTCTAACGATATCAGCTGAATGCCAGCAAAGATGAAGATGGGAGATGATGATGGTGCTTATATAAATGTTTGGCAACACACTGACAGCACCTTCATGCAGGACACCCAGGTGTTTCTGTGGCACATAAAATGGAAACAACCTGTGTGGCTCCATGCCTGAACTATCTATCTAGCTATGTTTATGGTTAAAGAGTCCATATATCAAGAACACAAGAATATGTCTTAGGACACTACTGAAACTCTGAGCACTGTGAGTAATCTTCCATGGCCCTAAAATGTCACCACACATATTTAAAGAAGCTAACACACACTGAATAACTACGATCAGTCAGCTCAGTGTGAGCATGCTCAGGGCACCAGCGTTCAGTGAGGCAGCAGCCAGCAGAGCAAAATGTGTTTTTAGTCAACAGAAATAACTTGAAAAGTTAACCAGCTACAATTCATGGATTTACAGCACTATTGCATGGATCGATTCTCTGATTGAAATTGATCTTTATTTAAATAATCTGATATTGTTTCATAAAAACTTCCACAGTCTCCTGTGGATGTGTGAAGCTGTAACTTCGTTAGTCTCACGTGTCTCACAACGAGACCTGGTCACATGAACCAAAAACATGGCAGACATGGCTCCACGGAAGGCACCGGTCTAAGGACAGATGCGTGGCTGCATTTCAGGTTTAAATACTAGGAAGACAGCAAACAGCTGGAAAAAGCAAAGCGATATATGCAAGATGTGCAAGAAGAAGTCAACAGAAAAAGAAGCCATGTGTACCTCTTCATACTGCCAGTGCACTGGGGTACGATAGAATGCACTACTACTAACCTACCTATTATTTCTTGATATGTGTCTCAACTTAAATAGAAAGATCAATGTAACTGCTTTGGGTCCATTTGTAATGTAAACATGAATGTTTTTAAAGGGGCTATTTGTAAGTTTTCTCTGCCATCGAACAGGAGTCAGGAGCAGGTAGTGTTGATTGTCGCTTGACAAGACCTTCAGCAATCTTTGTGTTTACAAGACAAGAGGTTATAATACTTCCTATGAGCAGCTATGTCTTCAGGGCAGATTGGAGGCTACAGTTAGCCACCATCGGAAAGTGACTAGACGGGTCGGAGTTAGCTGGTTAGCATGGTAAGTTCTGTAGAAAAGACGTAATAGACAGGGATGCACATAACTGGTATGCATGTGTGACAAAAATTTGGAATACGTAACGTCACTTGTGTCACTGCGGCGCCTTTGCGTACTTGACAGGTCATCAACACTACACTACACACTCTACACATGTTTCTTGTCAACACACAGTGGAGTAGCCGTACTGTGGGAGATGTCCAAAAAAGAACAGACATTAAACAGCTACTTTTGCATTTTGCCACCTGCAAAGAAACGGCAAACCGGAGCAGAAGAAAAGAGTTTTTCTGAGAAGTGGCTCTAAGATGTGCCGTGGCTTGAAGCTAATTAGGAGCGCACTTCAATGTGGTTCAAGATATGTCGCTTGCATCCACATCTCGCAGTCAAAACAGGTGCATTTTATACAGGCTCAAAGAATGTCAATCATCCTTTGTTTGACAAACATGAAAAGAGCAAGGAGCACATGGATGTGGCACAAGCTATTGCTAATAAACAAGCTAGTCAAGAAGAAATATCTAGCTACCCACTTCCTAGATGGCAAAACAAGCTGAATGAATTACAACAGCAAGTTTTGTGTAATATTTTTCTACTCGCCTTTCCCAAAGCTAAACACGCACATCCCATGTCCTCCTATGCTGAGGATTTTCCTTTACTGGAGCGGCTAGGAGTAAATGTCAGGGAACACAGATCATGCAGACCATCGTGTGCACTATCAGCAGGGAGTTAAGAGCCAAGTTGGAGTCTGATGAATTTTGGGGATTGCTTCTTGATGGAGGACATCACAAAAACCGAGCAGGAGATTGTTCACATTGTGTCTGTGTCCAGCAATGGAGAGTTTACCTCAGACTTTCTTGGACTAATTGAACTGGGTACTGACTGAACCGCGTAGGCCATACTCATGGTGGCCATTGGACAGTTCACACTTCTGCTTGATAATGAAGGCCACTACAGGACATATACTGTTTCTAATGCTGATGCCGACAGGGACAAGACAAATTTAGTCAGGTGGTTAATTGAAGAATCTGAAATCAGATTTGACTCCCTCAAGTCATGTGATCATTTCTTAGCATTTGCCCTCAACTTGGCCTCAGGAAATGCAAAACCTCCACCATTTTGCCAACACAACAGTTTGCACCATTCTTCAGAAATATGAGGCCACCTTACAACTTGACAGCAACACCACTGTGAGAGAATGGATGCACTTCAAGCAAGCAGGAAAACACTTGGCAGCCTCCTCTGTGTATGACTTGGTCCAAATAATAAATACAAGCAATCCAGATGCTTACTCAAACATCATCAAGGTGGTTAAACAGTCTCTTACACTGCCTTTGAGCAGTGCAGCCTGTGAAAGGGGATTCTCACAACTCAACATAATAAAAACTAAGTGTAGATCTCGTCTGTCACATGCTCGTCTCTCAGCCCTGATGCACATTCACCTATCAAAGAAGACCACAGAGACATTTGACCCAAAACCAGCTGTTGACCTGTGGATGGAAACAGCTAATCAGAGGCTCAACCAGGGACGGGGGATGCATCTGCAACATCTTCATCATCTACCATACAGGAAGCTGAGGTAGAGGACCATGAGGGAGACACCAAGGAGGAAAGCGAGGAAGACTGCTCTTATTAAGATCATGCTATGTATGGGGTGAGTTACAAACACCATATACTAGCACTCGCCTGAGTAACTCACTGAAAAAGTTATGTGCACCCCTGGTAATAGAGACAAGGGTTAACTTTTTTTCCCACCTCTGGAGACAGATGTTGATGAGTAAAGGAATGAAGTTTGATGCTGAACTCAACGTTTCTTCTAGACTGGTAAGTAAACAGCTACTAATGCTAACGCTGGCTATGTGGCAGCAGCAAAACTTACAAATAGCTCCTTTAATTATGAACCAGGTTAGAGGAACAATTTACAGCATTATTTCTCTGAGAATCTCATTCATATCCAAATAAAACTGGTGATGTAACTGAAATACCCCTAACTGAATCCATATCAAATTGGGAATTGCTTGGAATCAGGACCTTGTTAATCAGAATGCAATCAATTCAGAAACTCATTGGCAATACTTAGCTCTACTATTGCACATGAATGGGCTTTCAGTATGAGAGGTACAGATTCTTGAGCACAATGCTGCAGTTGCCATGCCAGCAAATCTATAACAGAGCGCATGGGTAGTTTAAAGTTGTACAAAATTCAAGTGTGTGACTAGCAATTACAAACAGTTGATGTTTATGGACATGACAACACATTTGTGCATTCCTGCTCCATCTTGCTGTTCATAAGGAACCAACCACATGTTTGACTAAGAAAAAGTACCTTCCCCTTGACTTAAAGGAAACATGCAACAATAGATCACTAAACGTACTTTCAGACAGTATAACCAGTAAAAAAATATTCATGACAGCAAAAATACTGATGGCCGAACTTTTTTCCAACTTTCCATGTCAGCATCAGAAACCTTTCATCCACTGTCTACCAGTGATATGAATTTGGCTCATGGTGACAGCAGACTTAACTTCCTTA